AATTTTGGTAGATATATCTGTTAAAATGAGATGTCAGTGTTATTTTCATTTTTGCGTAATTTAGACGGCAAGTCATCCATCGCACCCTGTATATTGTGTGTATTTAGGCAGCATTTTTTCATTGGTGCATGTTTCATTAAATAATATAGACAAATTTTGGCTATTTATTTTATGTAAATTCTTTTCATGTCATCTGATAAGCTTAATAAAATTATCATTGAAAGACGAAAGAAAATCGCCATATTGATACATATTTTTTAATCCTAACTAAGCTTTCGGCTTACATAAACCATTATCAAAGATGACAATTATATTTCAATATATTAAACAATACACGGACATAACAATAATGATAGTCTGTTTTTGTTTGCATGGAAGATTTCCAAGCAACGACAAACTCGTTCATACGAGACGCTGGAACGCTGGAAGCGAAAATCACACCGCAGCTCATGACATCACACATGACCAAGCGAGAGTGAAAACGAGAAGTGTTAAGTATGGGAAGCCGTTGGTATAAACCAACGTCTCGTATGCACGAGTTACAAAAGGTTAGGAAGGAAGTCCTCGTCAATACTGGAAAGAGTGATAACAGTTGTTGGACATAAAAAACCTATTTTCTTGAAAGGATTATTTTAATAAAAAAGCTTTAATAAATTTCAACCCAAAGTAGCACAAGCTGTTCGGTTAATGAATGCTGAATGCTTCCTTATAAGGAAATGGTTACTATTGCCGTTACCATTAAAGGTGAGAAGATCCATTAAAACCTGTTATTTATTGACATATTCACTCCAAACTATTCTCATCATTCTTCTGTAAACAATATTTCTTTTGCTTTAGCTCACTTAGGACTGCGACTTTCTCACCTGCTCTCACTATCTATATGAATACATATATATGTATAAATATATATTTTAATAAATCCATATTAATATATAGATATTTATTTATATTAATATATAGATATTAATATATCTATATGAATACATATATTTGAGAAAGTCTTTGTTTGCGTGGGAGGACATCTGCGAATGTTGTGCGTCAATGCACTGTTTATTGCTTAATCTTTATTTCACGTGCCCTCTCCCTCTTTATCTGTCCATGATTTTCACACTTTCTCTCCCTCTCCCTATCTCTCTGTTTCTCTCTCCTTTCTATCTTCATATCTCTATCTATTTTCTCTCTGTCACCGTCTATCACTTACTACTATTCTGTTCATATCTCTGATTTTTGTTTTTCTCTGTCTCCATCCCCCCTCTCTCTCCATATATCTATCTATCTATCTATCTATCTATCTATCTATCTATCTATCTATCTATCTATCTATCTTCTTTTCTCTTCCTCTCTATCTCCGTATGTCTCTCTTTGCTCTTCTCTCTGCGTCTCTGTTTATCTATCTGTCTCACTCTATCTCTCTGTTTATCTCTCTCTCTCTTTCTCTCTCTCTCTCTCTTTCTCTCTCTCTCTCTCTCTTTCTCCTTGTTTCTATGTTTCTCATTTTCTCTGTCTCTCTCAACTACTCGCTCTCTGTTTCTGTCACAGTTTTTTCCTTTTTTCTATCACTCTTTCCCTATCCCTCTCTCTATTTCTCCCTCTCTATCTCTCTGTCCTTCATTCTCTATCTTTCTGTCTGTCTGTCTGTCTGTCTGTCTGTCTCTCTCTCTCTCTCTCTCTCTCTCTCTCTCTCTCTCTTGTTCGCTCGCCATCCCTCACTACCTATTTTTCTTCCCACTCTTGCCCACACTCCTGCTTACGAAACATATGTATCCTCATGGGAGTTTCTTTGTGTAAGTACATCAGTATCACTTTTAAGCTTATATAAACTTGTTATCAATAAGAAAAAAATGTTTTCCTAATTTTGTTTACGTATACTATTTCTCCTTTTAATATTTCTCTATTTTATATCTAGCTATTGTTATATATCTATTGTTATATATATGTATATATTTATAGAATAGAAAGATAGAAACGAGGGTCGGGAAAACAATACTTGTTCTTTTTAAATTAGAGTATATGTGTGGGTGGTGTAACGGATAGCGAGCGACACGGAATGAGAAATCTAAGAACCGAGTTCGAATTCAAGTCAAATTCTTTACGTTCACTTACGCCAAATACACTTGGCAAAGCTATGAATGTCATCCCACCATCTTTAAGTATGACTTGTATCCGGAAAAAATCATTGTTCTTCTCAAAAATTGTTTATGCAATATACACTAGCAAAAAAAGAATTATTCTTACAATCCAATATATGTTTCGGTTTTAAACAAACTACAAAGGGTTGATAAACTATAAAAAAAACAAATCAATCAATCATAAATGGCAACACAATTAATAGTAGAAAGGCACAAATCATAGCCAAATGAACAAAAACGTCGGTGCAGCTTTGGCTTGTTATCTACAAGGAAAAATATCTACACCGTACAAATTTTATTTTGGAATGTTATCTACACAGTAAAACATATTATAGCATATATACCATACAAATTTTATTTTGGAATATCTCCGCGGTAAAATGTATCATAACATATATACCGTACAAATTTTATTCTGGAGTGATATCTACATAGTAAATCATATTATAACATATATATATAACAGAGAAAATGCAATTAAAACATTTTTTTTAAATTCTGTTAATGACATTCTCTCGAAACCAAGACAAGTGTTTTCCTTGTTCTTGGTGTAGATGAATGACACGTAGATCGCAATAAAAAAAGTGTAGACCGCATACATATTTTGATTCATGACACGTATATAACAATCCAAAATAACACGAAAATGTCTCAAATTTCCAAATCCAGTTCTCAGCATAGTCTTCTTGCTTATCAATCTTAGTATTTCACCTTTGAATAGGAACATGTATATCCATCTCGTAGAAGATTTTTCACTGTTTTCTTAGCAATATACATGCTATCACTTTCACCCCATCATCAATCGCTGTCTCCTTCATATGACCGAAAAGATGTAAGTCTCAGGGTTCCAGGTCAGGACAATAAGATAGATAAGGTAAAGTTGTCTTGTCATGCGCTTTATTTACTTGCTGCTGCGATGCCTTATCTTACAAAAGTATATCACTCATGTTCAAAGTTTTGACAATGTACTCAAGAAAGAATCAGAACTGACACTGGTACCATCTAGCAGACTCTATAACATTATGACTCCATTCTGGTCCCAAAATACAGTGTCTCACAATTTCCTTGCGGAGTGTGCTTCTTTAAACATTACCATTTCACCAATGTTCCCCTTGCTCTCTGGCTTAGAATGGAGAACCCAGGTTTCACCTCATGTTCTTTTCCTGTTTCGGAAGGTGCTCTCCGTTTTATGTAGTTCTAAATGTTCCTGGATAGCACCTACACCCTTCTCCTTCATTCTGGGAACCTTCTTTGCATATAACTTTGAGTAACCAAGAGAAGAAAGGTAAATGGAAAACACTACCATGGCTCACCTGAAGGCTTTCGCAGAGTTTCGAAGTAGCGATTCATCTATCAGCTGTAATGAGAACGTCACTCTCTTGAACTTTGTCCTCACTTAAAGCAGCGGCTAGATTACGACTAAGGTCAGTTTCTCCTTTCTCTCATATTGCTTAACCTATTGATCCGTTTCCTTACTGTACTAGTCCTAGGTATGGCAATAAATGATATCCAGGAGATTGGAGGCTTTGGGGAGCGTGCAACCACCTCTTGATTTCGGTTATGTCCAGGTCCACCCTGACCCGGGGTGATAACAACTATTACGGGGTTTTAGCTAGTCCTAGTCTTATGGCTAAATAATGAATCCACAAAAAAAAAGATTCTATTAAATAATAAAAATACATTTTTATAGTAAAAGTATCAGCAACACATTTTTATATAAAAATTACTAACAATAGCTATTTATAGCAGAACTAGCAGCATGGCCCGGCGTTGCCCGTGCTTGATTCAAAAATCGTACGACTCATACAGCAATCGCTATCACTTGACTTAAAATATTTTTGCCCTTCCTTGCCTTTAAAGGAGTGCCCTTTGCTGTGCTGATGTTGCTACATGCCTTACTTCTTGCCTATCTCACACTGCGAATTTTTTCTAAGCTCTATACTAAACATTAAATCTGTTACGAAAAAAGAACTAAACAAAATGAACACAAAACGATCAGCTTTAAAAAACGACTCGTAACTGGAAAAACTGAATGAAAAAAGAATGTTAACAAGAAATACTTTTTCACACCCAACCCAGTTCTGCGGAATCAGAATCAACGTTGAGTTTAAACAAGCGAATGAACTATTGAAGTAAAGTGCCATGCAGATTTAAATTTTCCCACTTGTGACGAATGCTGCTATCGATTTTTTTTTACATGCTAGTTAACATTCGTGTCAGTCAGCTGTTGGCTCTCACGCTGGCCAATAGAATCTTCCTGCCTATTCGTGGCAGCCAGCTATAGGCTCTCACTCTGGCCAGTAGAAAATGGCCGCAAACTACATGACAACTGCCGTAGAAGCATGAAAAAATCGATTATTTCCACTATCGATGGGAGTTGGGAAATGCAAAGTCGGTCTTGGCCTTTCCGCTAACTTGGAGCATGTGCATGTAAATTTTGGTGCAAATCCGTCAAAACTTGCGGCCGTGCATTCGTTACACACACACACACACACACACACACACACACACACACACACACATCCTGCCTTTTATAGATAGAGATTACCATCAATACATTTTATCTATAGTTAAACCAAAAGATTTTATTCAAAAAATTTAATTTTCAGCTTTAAATAACCTATAGAGGTTGATATGCCGTTAAACAAAATCAGTCAACCAACCAACCTTACGGCCGTTCCATTAACTGCAACATTTCGATAAACATCTGCTTGGGAATGTTTGCAGCACTTCCCGTTGCGAAAAACTGAAATTCTATGACACCTCTTTGTTTTCTAAATGTTGGCTGTCATTTTTAAAAGGATTATGCGTAAATTAAAAGTAAGTAATTTCAAAACATTTTCCTAGATTCTAACACTTTTAAAACGTGCACTATATTTTACTGACCGTAGATAGATAGATAGATAGATAGATAGATAGATAGATAGATAGTCTAGTTGACTCATGGTTCTAAGTCTTACAAGAAAATCCTTCATCTTCATATGTACAAAAGCTACTGATTCAGCCTGTCAGCAGTGTGTTGTGCAAGCCTTGTGATGGGTGCGTTCTGTAACAGTTTATAAGGACACCTATTGGAACGAGAGCAGGAGGCACGTAATGGATAGCGGCTCGGATTGAGAAATCGGAGAGCCTAGTTGGAATTCCAGTCGGATCCATTACATTCAGTATCTGTCTATATTTCTGAGATGAGGTATTATGTACATTATTTACATTATTCGGACTATTGTCCTCATCTTTGTCGCCATATTTATTACAACGTTTAAGCCGTTGTACGCTCCGGTCTTCTTCAGGTGGTTGGAATGCCGAACTGAACCCTTTATTTCGCTCACTGGGGTAGACTGTTCTAGTTCCACGTGCCATGTTTAATGGATGTCAGTTATCAGTTATCTCCTGTTAATTTCTCTCTGAAAGTTTTTCCACTACCTTAACCGGGTATTGAACACAATCTTTGGGTCCTGTCACTGGATCTAACCAACGCCTTTATCCACTGTGCCATGTGTCCTTGAGGACACATCCATTAAACATGGCATGTGGAACTAGAACAGTCTAGTCTTACGTGCTAATACCCTTGGGAAAAGTATGAATCCTCTTCTTCCTTCCCCCCAGCTATGAATAAATAGCAGGACAGACTGGTGGCAACCTGTCTAAGAGAAGATAACTCTGAATTCAAAAATCGGCCTGGAGAGGGTTGGGCCCCGTCAGGCTCTCTTGCCCCTAAAACTCCATTTCTACTGCGGTATATGACCCTGATGTGTCACGGGATTCGCGATCGATCGCGATTGCCTGATTGGAACGAGAGTTTTTCCTTAGTGAAATACTCAAAGTTTGTTACAGGTCATTTCCGACCCCACGGGCGAAACGTCGCAAACCTCTCTCTTTTATATTGCTATTTCTCTGGCATATCTTCTGATCCAGCTAAATTCTGACTTTCACAGCTACAGCCTGCCATACCACGTATACTGGAATCATCTCCATCCACCGATGCCAGCACCACCATCACCCCCGTGGCAAGAAGGAAAATCAGTTTCTTCCCAAAAACCGGAATAGTCTCCCAAAGTGCAAATTCAACCGATCACTACACAACCTCTTCTAGGGTTAGCAGTTATCTTTCCTAGCCTCATAAACTGTGTTTCTTACATCCTCCTGTTACAGCAACCTCATCAGAATAATCTTCTATATTGAGTGGCTCTCGTGCCTTGTATTGGGTGAGCAATTAGTATAACAATTATACATTTCCTTCAGTCATTGTCCTCAAACAAATCCCTAGAAATACACACGCAAAGAATTCCAGGACCATATATAAATTCTATGCCAAACTATATAGTCGCCGTCATTCAGATGAGGGAAGTAGCTACATGTTATTAAGTGTGTCTAATCATTGGTATTTCATTTCATATATATGGAATATATATAAATATAAATATATTTATATGTATGTACGAAACTCATAGCCTTGTACGTAAAAATGTCTACACGCTCTTGTAAACAAGAAACTATGAATAGAGAAATAAGAAGAAATATTAAAGAAAATAAACAGATTGTATTTTGTTTTGACTGACTGGCCGTTTGATGATGGCCAAAGGCTTTAAAATGGCAATAATTGAGATAATGGCAGAAATGCCTCTTCGCCTCGGGGATCTGTTCGGTTACAAAATAAATAAGAAATTCGTTTGGAATAACAAGAAAAAAATTGAAAGAAAACTGGAGAGTCTATTGAGCTCGGGCCACACGTGTGGTTGGGTGAACTGATAATGGTGCCGGCATTTGACAGAGGAAACAAGGGAGGGAAGGAAAAACGAAATTAAAGATCTGTAAAGAAAGAAATAAAGAAAGAGTAACATACAAAAATAGTAACACATGGAAAATGTATTGTCAAAGAAATAAAAATAAAGATCTTGGAAAAAAGCGGGAAAGAAGGAAAGAAGAAATGAAAGAAAGAGTGAAAATAAGGGAATGTATTGTCAAATAAATAAATTGAAAGAAAGGAAGAAAGGAAGTAGGAAAAAAACGAAATTGAAGAGCTGTGAAGAAAGAAAGAAAGAAAGAAAGAAAGAAAGAAAGAAAGAAAGAAAGAAAGAATAAAACATGGAAAATGTATTGTCAAATAAATAAAAATATCTTGGAAAAAGCTTCAAAGAAAGAAGGAAGGAAGGAAGGAAGGAAGGAAGGAAGGAAGGAGTAAATCATGCAAAATGCATTGTTAAAGAAATAAAAATAAATATCTTGGAAAAAGCTTCAAGGAAGGAAGGAAGGAAGGAAGGAAGGAAGGAAGGAAGGAAGGAAGGAAGGAAGGAAGGAAGGAAGGAAGGAAGGAGTAAATCATGCAAAATGCATTGTTAAAGAAATAAAAATAAAGATCTTGGAAAAATTACAAAGTAAGAAAGAAAGAGTCAGACATGGAAAATGTATTATAAAAGGGGAAAAAGTAAAGAAAGAAAAAAGAAAGAAAGAGTAAAAATATAGAAGCAATAAACAAGCAACGAATTAAAAAAAGGGAAATGTACTGTCAATAAAACAAAGCAAGAAAGAATGAGAAAAGGGAAATTCGAAATATATTAATAAAAAAAATAAGTGAGGTAAAAAGCAACATCGTTTATTTTTCAATAAAATTTGCATATAATTGCAAAATACGTCATTTTTATTTGATCTTTGAATTGACAGCCAATGCTATTTTATGTTGATAAAATTGACCTTTGTATTTCATCTTGCAGTCTTCTCTACTACCATTTAAAGTTTGTAACATCTTGTTTAATCACTGGTTATTTTCAACTATGTTAAAGGATAACTTACTTTGTTGACTGTATGTTTCAGATTAGGTAGTCTCTCGCCCACGTCCTAAACTAATGCGGCATAGAGGGAGCAAGATAGATGCGAAATAAAGAATTGTAATGCTTATTACTTTAGACGAAAAAAAAACACGAGAAAATATTATGAATGGTTTTAGTTCTTATTTTTCTCCTTTACGACAGTGAAAAATAGTCTACGTACAGGTATATTACTTAAGTATAATTCGTATCATTTTTCTTTTTCTCGTATCTTAAGAAAACGAGAACAAGAACGTGACTTGGTTTTCCTTAACACTTAAACAGCGGATATGAGTTAATATTTCATTGGAAATCAACGGGTATCATCTTTTGAGGATTTAAACTTTTTCCAAACATGCGCGCATCATTCATTTATGATTTGAGTCTAAATAACTAATTGGCAACTGTAGGATTCCTAAGGTTACCTCATTTGCCGGAGCGCTGTTTTTTCATGCATACTTCTCGAAGAGGAAAGAGGTGGAAACAGGTAACCAATTGGGACAAAGAATGCACAACTTCATTGTTTCTTCAATGTTTCAAAGAATATTATATTGCTAAAAATAAAAGAACCTAACTTTTATTTTTTTCCTCTTTATTTATTATCCCTTCATTACTAGAAGTGCTGGACTGCGATGTGATACTCCTCCATACGGCAGGAACTGTTAGACAATTTCCCCGAAGATGAGGGAAAAAATATTTGAAAGCAGAACTGTGGTTCTACAGAAGGGTACTGAAGCGTTCATGGACGGAGCGAGTAAGCAACAAGTAAGTCAGAAAGAACATTTGTATGGAAGATCAGGGAGAGACAGCTGAAATTCCTTGGACACAAAAGGAGAGCTTGGAAAACCTAACCCTCACGGGGTATACTGAGGGCAAGAGAGATAGGGGGAGACAGACAGCCAATTACCCGACAAGCTTATGTGAATGAAGAATAGGTGCTTTAGCAAAGGGAGAAAAACTGCTAAGAGCCGCACGAGATGAACAGTTGTGGAGAGCCATGATCGCCTATGCCCTGAATGGGGACAACCCAAAGAACAGATTATGGCCAATCAGTCAAAACAAAATGTAATCAGTTTATATTCTTCGATATTGATTCATATTTCGCTATTTCAAATCCGTAGCCTTTAAGGGACAAAAAATGCTTGCGGACCGGACAGAAAACGTGTTCGTTAAATAGACAAAAATAGAAAGAGAAGTAAGATGCGTTTTCTAAATAGATTTGTTTAATCCATACAGTGAGATGATCTTAATCCGACCTGGATTTATTTTCAGTGGACGTAATCTTAACAACACAAGATACGAAGATTATATTGTGTTGATGGAAGACTTGGAAAACTGAGAAAAAAAAACTCTTAGACAAGATTGTCAAGTATATAAAAAAAGAAATGACTGTTAATTGCAAGAAGATAGAATATATGGTCGTCAGCAAAAGAGACAACTAATTGTACGAACTATGTACTGGGGACGTCAAAAGCAAGCAGGTGCACAAATTTAACTGTCTGGGTAGTGTAGTAACAGACGACGGAAAATATAACACAGAAATCTAAAGCTGCATTGAAACAGCAAAAGATACATTCCAAGAAACTAAGCAGAGTCTTAAACAGTAGGAAATGTTCTTAAGAAACAAATACAATATCGCTGAACTAATATGCAATGTCTAATCTTCTATTTGGTAGTGAATGCTGGACAATCTCTTTACAGATGGAGAAAAGACTTGAAGCGACCTATATGTGGTTCTACTGATGGATGTTTAAAATAGGAAACTAAACATATAAGCAAAAAGGAAGTCTTAAAGATAACGACAACAAGGAAACTTATATTTACATTCAGAAGAAGACAGGTGAAATTTCTAGAACGTATAATGAGGAAAGAAGACCTAGAGAATTTAACACTCACATGGCATGCTAAAGGCAAGCGACGTAAAAGGAATTAGTGATATAACCTATTTAACGAATCTAAGTAAACGAATAGGGCCTACAAAGACAAATAGAAGTAGCAAAGATTGTGAGTTACTTAAAGTAACAAAATTTGTGAAGTTGTGAAGGGCCATAATCGTCTATGACTTAAAAGAATGCATAAAAGATGATTGTTTCAAATTTATTTGAAAAACTAAAATACTGTGTCATTATTTTAAATGCAAAATAATAATTTCATTCACACAATACAAGGCCCAAGAGCCACTCTCGGTAGAGAGTTATTTTGTAGTGTTGTATGAGCTTAAGAAAAGGCAAGCAGTGAAGTTTATGAGCTTATGTAGGAAAGATAACTGTTAACCCTAAACTAGAAGAGGTCAAGATTTTAGTGATTAGGAAAAGATCCTGCCTCCGATGCTTTGTGGACAATACGTCCACAAAGCATCGGTTCTTGGGATAAATCTGTTCGAGTGGTACTTATTTCTTACTAATGGTAGACGAAGGGAATGAAGATGATTCATCCTTGTGCCCGTGGATCCCAGCTGTAAAGATGTTGTAACCTAGGGAAGATTATTGAATAAATTAGGACAAGAACAACACATATAAGATTCGCAAGCGGCGCGTAGAAGTAGTAGTCAACTGTTAGAGTCAAATGAATTCCAAAATGAATTTCCAACTCTAGGAGATCTACCAACCGCCCCACGCGGTCAGATGTGACACAAAGCCTAATTTAATGTTGGGTATCCGAGCCCGTAGGCTAGGCCAAAAATTTCCGTATAAAATGGGGTCAGGTAGCTGTTTCCCGAGGCGAGACTCTGCCTTTCGACTTAGATTCGTCTGTGAATTTTCTCTGTCCAGAGGCAGAATGTTTGACCAACACAGCTGGAGACGAATCGCCAACTTTAGACCAACATACAGTATTTACTACTGTATTTATGTGAACGGGGACATGCCCATTGTCGTCTGTAGGTATGCTACAACAAAAGGTAAGTGCTGGAGTAACCAAGAAATGTTTCTTCTCAAAACATGTGCCATAGAAATAGTGATAGCGTAGCGAGAGACTTGCGATGTTTCGTCTGTGGAAAATAATTAATCAACTACAAGACCGCATAGACGCTCTGGAACTCCATCGAGACAAGAAAGTGAGAATACTGGACAGCTCCAGCAGAGATATGGCAGCAATACTCCATATTTGGTCTGATCTGGCTCTTGTAAGTTAGACCATAGTGAGAGGGGGTAGATATTTACTGGAGCGGTACAATGAACCTGCCATTTTTCCAGCACCTTTAACTATAGGTCGGATATACGTTCCACTTGAGAACTGGAGTGAGCTTAAGTCTCAAAGACATTCAAGCCAAGGAACACCCATCCATCATGAAAGGTTAGAGTTCAGGGTCTGCAACGCACAAAAGTATATACATTGGTGCATCAGTAACTCCGTCGCCGGACATGCAACGGAGTTTTTGGCATCTAAGTCTCCCACCTCATTCCAGCTGGAAATATTTGGTAAAAATATTCAGTATATTGAGAGGTAAACATGTCGGCTGAACAAATAAGTCTTACGTTGTATTTTTATCAGTTATTTTTCCCCTCTCTATTCTAAATACTGGCTGTCGACAACGTCTAGGTAAACATCATCTAGCCAGATACCATTACTGCAATTCTCCCAGGTATATTTCATCCGCTGAAATACAGACAGTACTGTTTGGCCGTTTGACCTGGAAATAGTTTCCCATCTGCTCAGTACGTTAAATATTAATTTAAAACTACAATTCCATTGTTTATACGCTTTTTTGGAAAAGCTTTAAAAAATTAAATTAGGCCTAACGTGAACTTTACAACACTCCGTAAATGTAACCTCTTGTATTCTTAACTCATAATACAATTAACAGAAAGAGTTCGTTTTGGTACAGAACAAAACAATGGATTGTATGAAGTATTTAGTCGAATAGTATCAATAAGGGACGTGACCCCAACTGTTGTTCTGTTGTTCTGTTGTTCTTTTTTTTAATATAATTTAAAAAAGAAAACAACTTTTATCTAGTGCGAAATAAATAAAGAAAAAAATAATGATCAATATTTCATACAAAACATTTATTTAATATTTTAAACGTGTGAATGTAATGAAATATAGAAAAAAAAACAGATTTTATGATCTCCATATATTTAGGAATAAGTATTCTTTGATTTCTCATCATTTAACAGAGTCGGAGATATTATCTTAAAGTACGAGGTCTGATCAAAAAGTATCTGGTCTGGTGCTATAAAAAAACAACTACAACACATATGAATTCGGCATTTAATCTCCTTCGAAGTAGTCCCCTTCTGAAGCCACACACTTTATCCAGTGTCGTTTCCTTTAATGGAAGCATTCCTGGAACATTTTGTGAGCAGCAGCCACGTCGTATTCTCTTGGATTTTCTCAACATCTCGAAACCTTATTCCTTTCAAGTGGGATTCGATTTTTGAAAAGAGGTAAAAGTCGCAAGAAGCGAAATCTGGAGAATATGGTGATTACCGGACCTGGGGAATGCTATTCTAGCCAAACACTGCTGAACAACCCATGGTCATTGATGGAACCTCTGTTATGCGGTAAGACCACCACACACTACACACTTTCCTTCCAAGCACTTCTATAAACAACGAAAGTGAGCGAGAAAGTTATAATTTAGTGTGTAGACGCGACAGAATTTAAGGTCAGTTTGTGCCAAGCGGCTTCACTCTACGTATTTTAGTTCCGTTACTATAGAGACAGTCCTGATACTTTTTGATCAAACTTCGTACGT